TTTGACCTCGCCCTATCAATCTATGACACGACTTCTGACGATTCGAAGAGCCGCTCTTTTACCTCTGCTAAGTCAGTACTACCACAGGTATATAAGCCTCTCTACGACGACCTACAATCCTCAGCCCAGGTCTACCCGAGCTTCCCCCACCGCACTTCAGTCCTCACCGACCTCTTGCTCCTCTCCAAGTCACCATGTTCTCCTTCATGAAGATCGCTACCTTCGCTGCCCTCGCCTTCGGCACCCTCGCGTCGGCCATCCCTGCTCCCGCCCCCGTCCCAGTCGCCGAGGCTGGCGCCATTGAGGCCCGCGACGCCGCGGCTACACAGACGGTCACTCAGATCCTCACCCAGATGAACAGCGACCTTCAGGCGCCCACCGCGCAGCTCGGTAAGTTTGCGCGCACGTTAATGCTTCTTCGCGTTGGCACTGATAGGTTCACAGGTAGCCTGACGGCGGCCAACGCTACGCCGGACAATGTGAACGTGATTGTACTCAAGATCAAGGTCATCATCGAGGCCGCCACCGCGGCGTGCGGAAAGGCTTCGGGCGTGGGCTCTGGCAACATCCTCGTCCTCATCTCCATCTCCATCAATGTACGTGCCTCTCCTCGAGGCGAGCGTTTTGACAGCGTCTAACCGATCTTCACAGCTGGTCATCACGGCTTGCAGCAAGTGTTACAGCGTCTGCACCGACAAGGTCGACGTCCTCGTCATTCTCCAGCTCCTCGAGTATGCACCGTCTTTTCCTTCCCTCCGCATCACATGCTCATCAACGCTTCAGCGTCGTCCTCGCAGCGCTCATCTCGATCGTCCTCAAGCTCGTCGGCGGCCTTCTCTCCGTTGTCATCGGGCTCCTCGTTGGCCTCCTCGGCACCGTCGTCCAGCTCCTCGTCTCGCTCAAGTTCACGGCGTGCCTCAAGGTGCTCCTGATTCTCTGAGCGGTGTCGAACGCGACCACTCTCAAGGCGTAGTTGCGGCGATCTTCCTTGTCCGAGTTTGAAGGGACATGTATTCGCGCTTGTACATCGGCTGCGGGTATCGGTGTTTGATGAACTCGGTGTTGCTCGGCTGTGAACAATGTTTCTCCTTTTATCTGTCTCTCCTTTTCCACTTGACTGCTCATTTCTCATAAATAACGATTTAACCTTTGGTCTTGCTTCAACTGTTCACCATGTGTGAATATTGGCCATTTCCCGTAGAGTGAAACTTCGCCGGTCAATTATCGATATTGATACCAGCCCTGCTTGTACCAGCGCACAGCCCGCCGCAATACACGCATCTTAGATCTCATCTCCCAATCATCATAGTAGGAGGGCCGAGGCTGACCCGCTTTGTGCTGTACATTCAGCTGCCTTCCTTTCGGTCTCTGCTCTAGCAAGCATCATTAAACTAGGGTGTAACTTCTCAGGAACCCTACTTGAAGTATAGCCCATGATCAAGGGCCAAGGCGCGTCGTTGAATACATGCTAACCTTAACCCAAGCTGCTGGGGCATTCGATTACATCGCCCTCCGAGGGGTCGCCGCGATTGCTTTAGTTTCTGCTCTCATGATTGTAGATATGTACACGACAGCTTTACTCTCTTGAACCTGGATGGTAGTCCGCATTACACGGTGCACAACGGCTTTCTTCTCTGGCCCGCGATTGCCAGGGGCCGTACAGTTTCCTATGATCATGAGATATACCCACCCATATGCGTACACCTCAGACACCACTACCGTCAACACCGTCAGATTACCTTCTCTCATTCGGACCCATGAGACCACTATGAGACCGAGACGATCAAGACTCCGTAGACTGCGAAGCATCTCGCCAATGATCAGCTCGTTTCAGTCGGGCGGAGCGAGACTTTTGGCCGTAGGTTCATTCTGACACCGGACCTGATAGCAAATCACAGAGAATCTGAGAGAAGGCGGCTGTACGACTTCGAAATGATGATTCTGAGTGAACTAAGCTCGGGCTTCGCGTCATGCGGATCTGGGCGTTGCTCGGCTCTAGAGTCTATATGCTAACCCTGACCTAAATTTACCTCGACTCGGACACTCCAGCGTCGCGTCGTTCGTTCATGGAGGCTCGCCCATCGCCGTCCACTAATTCAAATAGCCAATGTAGCACACCGGAAAGGTATGTGACATTCACAGCTTGAAGTTGGTACACAGGTTGTATAGTTTGTGGGGAAGTCCCCGCCGGATTAGGCTATGTTTAGGACCATACATATCGAAGCTCGAAGCTCAAACGAAGACATATAGTATGGATATGGATCTCGCTCACGCCGCAGGCCAAATCTCGACCCACTCGTTAACCCAGAGGTACCTCGAGAACCCCCGATAGAAACAACTGAATATGTCCCTCCAATTCCTATGCGGCGCCACCGCATTTGCTGCCTTGACCGAATCAAAAATACAAGCTGCAAACACGGGCACGGGGATGTTCATCACCACGATCCAACTCAGATTGGTGTCCGACTTCGACGCGAGGAATATGTCCAGTCTGGATTGGAGCGCGGCCATATAATGGATATATCTATTCCAGAGGGTAGCGGAGAGAAGGGCGTGTGCGTGGAGGGTGGAAGGCGTGCGAGGGTCCGCGAGGAGGTGACGAGTGCCGTGGTAGAGCGCGCTGTGCTGTGGGTGAAAGGAAAAGCCGGTACGGTCGAACGTCAGGATCTGAGATGGATAATGTCAATTTGAGGAGGTGGGTCTAGGAGAGAAGAGGGGCAGTACTTGCCGTTGTAATGTTGTGCCTGAGCACGCCTGGTCGTACGGCTTCTGCTACGAGAGAAGCGTTCCACGCATGATGGATGTCGGGCTTCAAGCCCCTGTTTGATTGACTCAATCCAAACTTCACATGGGAAGCGAGGTGCATTAACTTACTTGTGATCAAGCACGACCCGCCGCCCGTCCATTACCCCGAGTTCGCCCATACTCCGAGCCAACTCCTTCAACCTGGGTTCCTTATCCTCATCGGAGACACAGAGTACAGATTTACGTCGTCCATCCGGTTTAACTCCATGAGACTCGACCCGAAGAAGTACGCTACATCCTCTGGGTACGCGGTCAAGAGGAGTACTCGTGACTGGCCGCTGTTTGGGACGGGGAAGGAGGAGGTTGGAGGGGCGATGCTGGTCGGTTTTAAGAGTATGGCCCAGAATACAGCAGCTCCTAGAACGACAGCAATTGAAAAGGAATAGTTGAACATCGTCGCGGGTTACAAGTTGAACTCGACGTCCGGTGCCACTCGCCCCGCAACCACTGGCAGTCATCCGATCTTACACTAGATCGCCGCGCCGAAACGCGAGCACGAAGTTGGCAGTGGCACGCATACTATCCTGAGCATCAAGATATGACAGATACAGGAGATATTGGCACGAGAGACAGCAAGTACAGTATGGGGGATGATGGCAGTCCGAAGCAGAAAGCCGGCTTGGAGAGAACACATCCAACGCACCGTTTCGGCAAGCTCCGCGCGCGATGACTTGTTCAGCTTTTGGCACTTGCTTCCACCGGCGACTCCGACATCTACAGCCTCATAACACAATATTACCTGAACCCATCTTAGGGTCTGAAGATGGCAACGGTATCTATGCAACTGAAGGGGCAACGTTTGAGATCGTACTTCTTGGCCTTGTTTTCTGAGTGAGGAACAAAGGCCGCGTACGACTTTGCACTTTGGCGTTGTTCCAGACGCGTCGCCTCTCGCTTACATTTTCTCATCCAATATCATCAACTTCCTGTTCATGCTTGTCCCTTGTTCTCTGTCCTGAGTAGATATACCGCGCTCTGCCTCTTGCCTTTCTCCCAGCGCTTGAACTTCAACCGTCAGCGCTTGCCCAAGATGTCCCTCGTTTGCTCCTCACCCGGCGAGTCATCCCTGCTCGAAACCCTCCATAGCGTACTCGACGATGTGCAGGACATCTTCGACTACACGACGCTGTATGCTCCCGAGACGCGTGCACGCGAGCTCTTCCGGTCATTGGGCTTGCGCTTCCTCAACATGCCCGTACGGCGCCCACTCGATAAATGCCACGCCCGTCCACCTCCTGGGTACGTACGCTACTTTTTCTCTGAGACAGATGTACTCTACCTTGCTTCACCTATTCTATGTTGCAGATGTGTTCGACTTCGCCTGTTCTCCGCTGAACGGCGCCGCGCGGGCTTCGCGCTTGACCAAGCCGACTTCCGCCTCGAACGCAACGGCGACCTCGATGTCGACGCCGTGCGCGCATACTGGGGTATTCAGCGCCTCCGCGTAAGCGTGGCTGTTGCATCTTAGCCAGTGAAACATACTTACCATTGTATCAGCCCTGCTCGAGCGGCACCGGGATGGTGTTCGCACCTGCGCGCGAGGACCGCTGGTCCGCGCTCGCACTTCACAACCTGACGGATGGGAAGCAACCGTTATTGAACGTGATTTGTACGCGCTACATACATACGTACACTCTCACAAACGCTGATAAGAACCCTCTTTCGCAGACTTGCCCGCACCAGAAGACGCCGCGCGCATCCAATTTCCGCCGAACAAGCTTGCGCGCGTCGCGCGGCACGCAGCGACCAACCCTGCACTATACGTGCACGGAGCACTAGCGCTCTACGCTCTGCCGTATCTCTGGGCGGCGCTACTATCGCTACTCGCCCTGATGCGTTGGGCCGTGTGCTGAACGCCGCCAACCGCCCACCCACTTCTGACCGTCGCATGCTTTGTTCCGCTTTCGGCCTATGCTTTGTTCTGTTGTGTTTCCTGATTGGTCTCTGTCTCTTGTTGACTGGGCTTCCGAGCCATTATGCCCTATGCCCCCATGCCTTATGTTCTACACCCACCATATGCCCCACGTTCTCATCTTCTCTCGCTCTCCTCCGCACGTCTTCGCCGTTTGCACGCATATGCTTCGTACCTGTACTTGTACTGTCGATGCTTCTTGAATCTTGATCTGTGCATTCCTGAGACTTGGCAAATGTGGTCAGCCAGAAAACAAAAAGTTAATGATAGAATACAATACTACGGTGGTATAGTGTAGTGGTTATCACTCTGGATTTTGATTAGCCTTGATTTCCAGGAACCCAGGTTCGAACCCTGGTACTACCTTAGGTGCTCGTTGAGTCTTTGTGTGCATTGTTTTCATTTCCTTTTTTTTGACCGGTATGTTTTCGCATATGCATCGTGGTTCCGAGTTGGTGCACGACATGCATGATTTTGGGACCACAAGTCGATCTCGCAGCCAAGAGGTGCTCGGGAATGCAGAGCCGTCGCGTCGGGTTCCAGAGGGGGTTGTCAACACATCCGTCAAAAATGACATGTCTCGCATTTCGCTCGACAGGCGCCGGCGCGTCGGTGCACGGCCGAATGGCTGCTAGCCACACACCGCACGCGGCTTGTGGTCGTACCAGCATGTAGATACAGTAGCCTGTCCCCGTAGCAGTCGCAATATAAGAAATGTATGAACCCTCGTGCGAGCGAAGCTCTTGATTGGCCGCGGGCGCGCCGCGTGTCCGTGTCGGCCGAAGCGCGTCCTCAACGCGTCTTCGTCGCTTGCTTGTTTCCTACCGCGACCAGGTTTTGTGTTGGCCAACTCAATAAAATCTTTAAGGCATGTAATAAGTCTGATACCGAGATATGATTATAAACTGACTTCCTGTAGGGTATATCGTATATGTACAGTGGTTGGGATCCTAGCCTTCACGGCGAATCATCGTCGTCTACCTCTCAAAGCCGTCCGAAACGGCGCCGTATCGATACAATACCACCTCCACCCCCTAGCTCATCTCAAGCCCCAGAAACGATAGAGTCTTCATCTCATCTCGGTCAATCGGGCTATGCTCGTTATGATGTGCCACCGGAGATACCCGCGAGCTCAGAAGTTCAGCCACCTTCGCACCACAATGTTCCTCAGACGTACGCACGATTTCAACATCCTGGTCACCCTTCGGCTGTCCTTGCCTCCCCATTCGAGTTTCAACCGTCTCATGGCTCCTTGGCTCAATCGTCCGCTATGCCTTTCTCGTCGCAACCTTCGGGTTATCATGGATACATACCTGGGTCGGCGCGGCCTGGACTAAACGAGTATTCTCATTATCCACAAACTCCGCCTGAGATAGGGTATCAGCAGCCATTCCAACCTCCGTTCCAACCCGGCTTTTCTACCCCTCAAACCCGGCCGACATCGTCACTGTCGGACTATCGTCTACCGGCGGCGCCATCGTCGGGCGACAGCACTCATATCTGGCACTCCTGGCGACAATGGCCTGGTATCAGCTTGCACAAAGTCCCTGTGGACGTAAGATTGAACCCCGCAGCTCGTGTTTGGTATACGATCTGCCCCTGCTGCTTGACTCATATACGAACATCCATACACGCATCCCAAACACCTCAATCGATTCCCGCACTCTTACACGCACTCGACAAGCACGTCACGACCGGCGAATCTTGCAGCGGGATGTTCGCTTCGATGCGAGCCCGATTCGAAGCTTCCGGCCAACCTCTGCTAGCAGGGCGTTCGCCACATGTGGACTCATGCTGCGGTGTCGAAGTTGATACCAATGCTGCCGGTCTTGCTGCTCGCTTCCCCTGGCCTGATACGATGTCGCCATTGCCGTTTAGGCTGACTCTGCCGGTCGATCCGAATGGGAAGCCAATTGCTTTTGCGAACGAGTGTCACACATACTGGCTCGACGGGTTGTCGCCCTGTCCATCATGCTACGGTCTTCGTGGTCGCATCTCGGATACAGTTGCTAGGTCTCTTGATGCTACACATACCAGAATGCAGCTCTCGTCTATGGGTGTACAGCACCTTCGGCACTCTGTAGAAGATTCTCGTGTCCATTCGGAAGAACAACGTCGGCTGATCGAGAAGCTCAAAGCTCGTGCCGAGGCTGCCGAACACCTCAATGCACAGCATGAACGATTGCTAGATACCATCATCGAGGTCAATCCTCATCGGTCTGCTACTATCTTGACAACCAATCTTCGGCATACAAAGAATCTAGATTATGTTATACAGAAGCTTCGTGACCACGAGCAAGGAAAATATACTCCATATAGCTATACCACGGCAGAATTTGACCTCGGCCTTATCTGTGCGAATCAGGGTGCCAGCTATGCTCTAAAGCGCGGCGCTGGATTGCCCGCACTTTCCACGATACGCAACCGTTTTCGAAGCAGGCAGCTGCTCCCGAATCATGGGCATATTGACCTGAACGTGTTACGCGAGAATATTGAGAATTGCTTCTTCGCTCATATGCGCGAGATCTATGGAGGCGTATGGCCCGATAAACCCATTCTCATGCATGTGACCACGGATGAAATCAGTACCGAGCGGCAGCCTACCTTTGATGCCCAGCGGGACATGGTGGCGAACTTTTGCTGGGAGCATACACCTCCCGAAGTGCTCATGCTCACTGATCAGAAGCACGTTGAAGCTCTACGGGATGGACTCGATGGCGACGTTTATCACCTCGGTGTCGAGATGTCTACTATGGCCATGAAAGTTCACGGCCGTGACGGTGTTATACCGTTCTTTACTGCGTCAACCTGTAAGAAGCACGATTCGAACGCAATGGCCGCTCTTTTTGGTCAGGTCTTTGAGATACTGGTCAACCATCCAGACTTTGCGGGGCACTTTGTTCTCGGTGCAACTGCTACTGATGGCGATGCCGCCCGTCGGAATTACTTTCATCGCCTTTGCTGCACAATACCTATGGATACTAGCAACACTCTGTATGCTGTGCTCTCCCAACTTCGCGGCTTCAACTTGTGCATCGGACCATATAATATGACTGTTGATTTTGACTGGAAGCACGGCGGCCTCAAGCGCCCTGCAGGAGGCGTACGCGGACCAACAGGCTTCTCGGTTAATGATGGAACAGTGATCCATGGTCAGATTGTATACATCGTCATCTCAAAGGCCGAGAAGTTTGCGCATCGTGCATACAAACTCACACACCCCGACGATCCTCAGGATGTTCCCGCTGCACTCGAACTTCTACAAGTTCTCTGCGAGCTTCCGAACGCGGTGCATGACCAGAAGTTCCTAGCTGAGCACGCGCGCGAAATGGATGCAATCACGTTTCTCGCAGAGATCTTATCTGGAATCATTGATGTTTACACGAACGTGGAGAATTCTCTGTCTCGGCAGGCGACTCTATTGAGCAAGGTCGCCCATCTATTATTTGCCTCATACCGTGCCCATGGCTCTAGTGCATTCAATGTTGAGCTATACCACGATCTCATTCAGATGATACGCAATTTCTATATAAGCCTGTTGAAACAGCAGATGGCTGATCCGAAGGCGATCTTTTTCTTCGGAGATCTGGGCACTGATGACCTCGAGAAGCTGTTCGGTCTGACAAGAGAGGAGAGTGGACACCGCGGCACATTCAACGGTACCGAGTTTCTCGTGTTCCTATCCCATGCACTGCAAAAGCAAGAGGCCTTCGCGCGACAGCCCCATCTAAAGCGTGTTCCGAAACGCCTTGAGCTGTTCACTTCCCAAGATCATGACCACATCGAGCGACGTCATATGACGGGTGATCTAATCGCCGGGAACTGTGATTTGCCACACTGCTGGAGCGCTGGAGCCGATCTTGCTCAGGAAGTGCTCGATAAATCACAGATGCCCTCTGCGGCACGCAATCTTGCAGTTATGCTCTCACAACCTGACATCGATATTGTCTGTCCTCTTGGAAAAGACCTTGTTCCGGGATATAACTCCGGGCAAGAAGCGAAGTCAACAGAGTCGATTGATAAGGATGCCGAGATCATGAACGGTGAACGTGCACTTGAGCCCACTCCGGTCACAGGCGATAGAGACCTTCCCGACGGCGCTGATGAGCAAGCACTTGGTCTGGTGACCGGTCTTCCCTTTGCACTTGAACAAGACGAATCACCCTTCGATGGTGAAGATATCGATGACCCCGAAGACTCATTGGCTTCGAGCTCTGCTGAGATACCCGAGATCCCCACCTTACCCGAGGGCAGAGGTATCATAGCAGCACATTACATGCTCTATAACGGAAGATACGTGCATAAGTCTACGATCTGCAAACTTGCTATTACACCCGAGTCTCGTCTGAATGCTGGTGATCGACTAGATCGTGTCCGCTTTCACTCCAGCTACAATGTGCGGAGTGCGATCAACCAGTTGATCGACGGAGATACAAGCAATGGTGAATGGCTCACTGTCGGAGAACTTGTTATCGCTCTCGCGAGACACCAAGCACCGAAGTCCGAAGCTAGCATGTCTCTTGCGGTGCTCCGAGTCAAATCTCTCTTGAAGGGCGGCAGTCCCATTAACTCCGTATCCATCGAGGCACTTGCGAACCCGAGCAACAAGTTGCAGCTCATCGGGCAAGTCATGTCTGCTCGTCGTGTGAGCGGACAGGGTGTTCCGATCTCCAGTTCATCGCCATCTTTGGAAGCTGCCCAATCATACGAACGTCTCACATCGAATATGTCTGAAGGCGACGAAGTGTTCAACTTTTCGATCTTGATCCCCGGCTCATATCTTCGTACACCGACGCGCAAGGCCAAGCTGGGAGCACCGGACAAGATCTGCGAAGTGACCGTACCCAGCACTACTGTTCGCAAAGTCCCATACCGGATGGTATGGTCTACCGGGAGGGCGACGCAGAAGGATATAGACAATCATGTCATAAACTCAAAGGGTTGGCTGCCCGAGTATACAGAGCGAGAGCTTCAGGCTGCGGGTTCGGAGATGTACGAAGCTTTGAAGAGCTTGCCGAGCTTCAATTTAGGCATGCTCGCTTCGTTGGACAGCTTATCGACTGGATTCCCTTACGCAAGCGGTGAAACCAAAGGTGCGCTCATAATATTTAGCCGTGCGCACACGATATAACATGGCAATACTCCAGACGAGTATCCTCTGCTGTGCAAAGCAGGTACTAAGGACTTGGAGGCGTATGGCAAGGGTCGAGATGAACCTCGTGGACAGTGTCGCATTGCAAGTTGTGGGCAGCTCATATCTGGTACGGAAGACGCTCCGCGTGCCCATCTGGGATGGCACTACGCGCATAAGAAGTTCGATACCGGCCTGCACCAGCCCACATCGAACGATAAGTTCCAGGTAAGCG